CGGCGGGTGGGAGGCCATCCATCGCATTACTCCTTCCGGTTTCTCAGATGAAGTCAAGGCTCAGAAATCTCCAGAAAGTTAGTTGCTGGCATTGGCTGAATTTATTCTCTCGACTCCCGGCTTATCAAATCATGGGGATTTGGGCCCAAAATTGTTTGTTTAACCCATTTTGCTTATTGACTTCCAGGCTGCTTCACTATAAATCCTAAAATGTCGTTGGGACTGTTTGATTGATGCCATAAGATGGGAAATGTCCCCAGAGGGGAACCTTGGGCCTTCATGGAGTGGGGAGCGGTGTTTGTCACCTGGGCCTTACTCCCCCAGTACCCGTGGGGAAGTTCCCCTGGCTGAATGAGCCCCTCTCTGGCCCTCTGCTGAGTCACTGCCTAGTCAGGGTGGCTGGAGCCTGTGAATGAATGAATGAATGGATGGGAGCTGGAGAAAGGCTGATGAGATGTACCTGGGAAGTGTGTGGACTAAGAAGATGGTCCCCAGTGCTTTTGTTATTCAACCTTTCAAGGAGGTATCTGGTCGTGGCCCACGACTGTTGATAGAACATCATGTTGTAGCTTTTCTGAATCGTTTCTACTTTCACTTGGGAATGTGTAACTAAGCCAGTGTGTCTGTTTTGTGGACAGGTACTTTGGAGGAAAAAAGAAGTGACTGCCCCAGTGATGCCTGCAAATTAGGCTGGGGAGCCCAGATTCACTAAGAAACAGGGCAATTTCATCACTGTGGAGCCACACATCTATGTACAGGGTTTTTGAAACCAGTGTTTTGTGAGCTGGATGAGCTTGCGACTGGATGACAGGTTGTGTGGCGGGAGGGTGGGAGTCCAGGTAGAAAGCCGTCTCTGCAGGCATGAGCAGGGCACTTCCTTTTTTTCAGCCATTCTCAACAGCTTGCTTTGGTTTTGAAGCTTATTTGCTTTCTGGGTGCTCTGAGAACCCCACTCTGCTCTGGTCTGTGACCATCAGCCGCTTCTCATTCCTATTGAACACTCATTGGTGCACGTTCACTGACCCGGACCTTTGTGGTCCTGCGACTCGGAGCGCTGGGGTACAAATCAGGGTCCTTTTCCCAAAGACAAAACCTATTCCCATGCACTGGATGGGATTCTGCCCTGCTCCATGGGGTGGGGAGGTGCGAATCCTGTGAAATTAAACAAGCAGAGCTTCCCCAGCCTGCTGGGGCACAAGCATCATCCGCTGCTGCCCTCCACAGATTAGACCTGGGGGTCACGGCGGCTAAGCTGCTTATGTGGGGGGGGTTGGGAGGGAATGGTGCAGCTCCCCTTGCAGGCGTGCCAGAGGGCGGTGGGCTCCCTGCTGGTGGGCTGATGAGTACTATCACACATCAGGAGCTGGCTCCTGGGCCTCCATCCCCTTCTACACGTTAGGTGTGGAGGCTTTAGGGTAAATAGGAAGGATATTGTCATGTTTTCCTGGGAAGCTCTGATAAAAGCCCGTGAAACGGTGAACGATCCTTAAGCATTCTCAGTTTACTTCCGCAGGTCTTGGGATGTCCACCAGGCAGGGGCCAGGGGATGAGTGGGGAACTAGCACGATCACATATTGCAGTGATGTATTTTTCTCCCTTAAAATGAGAGTGGTGAGCAAACACAGTGACTACTGCTTCAGGCAGAGGTGTAGCCATTCCTTGGTCGTGTCTGCTGTGGCCCCTGGGCCAGGCAGGGCAGTCTCCCGCTGGCTCCCAGTTTCTGGTTGTACCAGTGTGTACCGTCCACAGGCACTCATATTGTCCTCTGCTTCCCACAGGATGCGGGAGTGGTGGGTCCAGGTGGGGCTGCTGGCCGTGCCCCTGCTGGCCGCCTACCTGCATATACCGCCCCCCCAGCTGTCCCCTGCCCTGCACTCATGGAAGTCTTCGGGCAAGTTTTTCACCTACAAGGGACTGCGCATCTTCTACCAAGGTGAGAGGTGGGCTGTGGGCCCTTGTGTAGGCCACGTGGTGCCAACCCAGGCACTTCTGGGGTCTGGGGGTTTGGAGGGGACCCTCTGTTCCATGTAGGGTGCTCGTAGGGAAACTCAGGAAACTGCAGGGAGGTTGTGGGGGGAGGAGATTCTAGTCTACACAACTTTTCCTGTTGGTGTTCTTTGTGGCCTGATTTGTCTTCAGATACTGGTTTGCTTGAGTCCCTGACACCAGGTAGAATCTGAAATAGTCACGGATGTGATGAGCACTGCCGGTTCTCCCTTACCATCCACATCCCTGGCTCGTTTTGTTATTTTCTGTAAAGATTACCTGCAGTATGCATGGCAAAGTGCAAGATGTCTTGTCTCAGTTAGCCTGCTGATGGTGATGCCGATTGCCTGCTGCTTATCATACCCCAGGCAGTCATGCTTTCAGCCAACAGTGCTTGGAGGTCGGTGCCATCAACCCCTTTCACAGGTGAAGAAAGCCAAGAAACAGACCGGAAAAGATTTCTTTTGGGCGGGGGTCAAGAGCAATAACGAAAAATGTTTGTCATAAACCGTTTTTCATTATTGCTCCTGACCTTCTCTCATTTGCTATATTCAATTAAGTAAGTACATTGTCTTCTGTATGTGGGTTTGGGCTGTTTCCAGTGTTTTAGTTAATATTGAAGGGAAAGCATCATGTCTGCCCAGTTTATTTTTTCCTTATATTTCCAAACTACTTGTATACGTGGAATGATTGGATCTGATTGGTTCTTAAGAAACAGACTCTTAGGCTAAAGTAGATACCTTTTTAACTAAATTATTTTTGAGAACCTTAATACCAAAGTTTCATGCACTGACAGTCGATGGATGTATCAGTGCCGTCCAGTGCTGTTAGCAAGGCCGATGCTGCCTACATGTTTGGCGAATGTAAGAGGTGTTTAGCGATTCCATGCTGTCATATGCACCGGCCATGTTCCTGTTTTGATGTTGGAGCGGGTCAAAGACCAAGCTGGGCCAAAGTGTGAGGGGAGGCTCCCTGGGAAGGGAGGGCGTCCCAGGCTTGTGCTGCCAAGGCACAAGGCCTCCGCAGCTCCTGTGGCCTGACCACGCACTTGAATGGCGGAAGGTTCCTCCTCACTGCGAAAGACTTCTGCATGTTAATAGCAGTGCAGAACAAAGGGGGAAATGGAGAGGTGCTTTTTAAAAAAGTCCAGGTAAAAGCAAGCGAGCTACCTTCAAGTATTTCCATGGTATGTGCCTTACAGTTTTTAATATACAGACTAAAAAGGAGGAAATGCCTGTCACTACCTAAAGCTAGAAGCCTGTGTCTGAAAAAGAAACCTGTCACTCTGATGTCATTACCTGGGCCACAGTGTGTCCTTCATATTGGATCCCTGGGATTTTAATGTCTTCGAGGTATCTGCAGGGACCTGGCCTCACTGACCTCTCTCCTCCCCAGACTCCGTGGGTGTGGTGGGAAGTCCGGAGATAGTTGTGCTCCTGCATGGCTTCCCAACGTCCAGCTACGACTGGTACAAGGTAACCAAGTCAGACCTCGGGGCCCTGCCCTCTTAAGAAAGCCAGCCAGGGATTCTTGCTGACAGGCCTAGAATGCTCTTGCAAATTCAGATTGCTCAATCAAACAGCATCGAATGCCAGGCTTTCTCATTTACTGTAAAGGAGTGGGTTCTTTGGCCACCTGGAAGGGATCGTTGCTGAGCCATCCTCCCTGGGGAGATCAGTGATGGAGAACAAGGCCCTCTGCAGGAGTCCGTTTCGGGGGCTGGGGTCGGGCCTGGGTAGGTTCGTGGCTCTCTCTGTCAAAGCTTGTTCAGCTGCAGGAGGAAGCACTGGGGCAGGGAGAGCTCCGGCAGGAGCAGAAGGTCCAGGCCGTCCTCTTTCTTGCAGATCTGGGAAGGCCTGACCTTGAGGTTTCACCGAGTGATCGCCCTTGATTTCCTAGGTTTTGGCTTCAGCGACAAGCCGGTAAGCAGCACCTGTGGGGACCAGTGTGGGGGTGGTGCCAGGTCACCTGGCAGGGCGGCCACGGCCTCACCCTGTGTCTTGCTCCCTGCAGAGGCCGCACCACTACTCCATCTTTGAGCAGGCCAGCATCGTGGAGGCGCTGCTGCGGCACCTGGGGCTGCAGAACCGCAGGCTCAACCTGCTGTCCCACGACTATGGAGACATTGTCGCCCAGGAGCTGCTGTACAGGTCAGCTTCGCCCCCACCCCCCTGCCCCGTGCTGGCTCTGTCCTTCTCCCCCGGGAGCTCCTCTTACCTGCCAGCCATGCACGGTGTCAGCCACCTGGCCACATGCTTCTCATCTCCTGTTCTAGGTACAAGCAGAACCGCTCGGGTCGACTCACCATCAAGAGTCTCTGTCTGTCCAACGGAGGTAGCTGCGGTGTGGGGGGGGAGCGGGGGATGGTGGGGATCTAGGAGGGCCGCCCTTGGGCACCACAGCGGGTCACAGTGGGACTTGGGTGACCCGCAGGGAGATGCCATGAGACTCAGGGTCTTGATCTTTCTTGTGTGTGAACCGCCTTGGTGGTCTGACGAGATTATAGACCTTTACTCGGCATAGAGAAAATCGGAATACACAGGATGACGAAGAACAGTGATTCTGTTGACTCCTGGTCAGGAAAAAGCTGCATCACGCTGCTTTCTCAGCATGTTGGACAGCAAGCTCTCGCAAGGGGCTGCTGCACCAGCTCAAAAGGGGGCAGGTGGAGGTGTCATCATGCCACACCTGTTGTAACTGCAGAGGGTGGGGAGAGCACAGGACTGAAGGTGTCCCGTGAAGCCATAGTGCTGCTCACGCTGCTGCCGCTCTGGTGTCAGGACAGCAAGGCCTCACTTGGTGTCATCGGTAGGCTCTTGGAAACGTTTAATGAAACCAACTGTTTTTTCTTATCAATGCTGTAAGGAAACGACATTGAGGGCCCGCTGTTCCTTGTGCTTAAAGTCAGTTTCCAAGAATCTGTCAACTTACTGTTTAGAGTCTTCAACTCCTAAATGATGGCAGCACCAAGTTGCAGTTAGAACTGAACTGCTGGTACGACCTTTTGGGTGCTATAGGTCCCTGGTGCGTCCATGGGTGCCTGAGGCCAATGGGGAGGGGGTCTGTTTGTCCCTTTGGCAGCTGTGCTTAAGGCTTTCTTCCATGGACTCTGAAGAGAAATGGAAAAGGCAGAGCTCCTGGTTCTTTAAAGACCTTAGTGCACTGAAAACCCTCTGGTTTTTTTCTTGCAGCCCAATCATGCACACTTGTGTCCTGAGCAGTGGAGGAATGCTGAGGGGTCAGAGCCTGACCACCCCACACTGGTCTCAACAGGTGTTGCTGGCCATCAGCATTATGGATGGCTGCATTCATGAACTCTCCTGTTTCTCCACTTTTATTTTTTTATAATCAATATTTTTAATTATGATATTGTGGGGTACAGTTAAGGGTTAGTTCTCCACTTTTAAAATAGAGAAGGACCAGTTAGACATGGCATCCTTGGAGCAGCAGATGACAGGACTGAGTTTCTGCTGTGGTTGTTTGGCAGTACAGGCCCCAGAGGCAGCAGTGGGCAGTCTCTGACAGTGAGTTTGCTCTGACCTAAAGCTGCAGGTGAATGTCTGAGGTCAGTCTCTTCTTCTCCTACAGGCATCTTTCCTGAGACTCACCGTCCTCTACTTCTCCAAAAGGTTGGCCATTTCCCTGATCTTTAGTTTTAGGATCTGTGCTGGCATAAATAATGCTGGGACTAGTCAAGGGCCATACCTCCTGCTGGGCAGTTGTTACAATTCTCCTTCCTGTGAATTTATATTAATGGAGCTAGTTTGTCTCTTGTTAGGTAGCTAGAGCAGAGGAAGTGGCCCCTACGTAAAACCTAAAACTGTATCTGAGAGTAAGAGGTCAGCAAATATTTGGAGAAACAGCTCTGGAAAGATTGGTGTCACGAGCATGATGTGTGAACACATTGGGGTCCTGATCTAAATCAGAACGCATTAGGGTTAAACATCTGAGGGTTTGGTGAAGTGGAGAAATGGAATCTTAATCAGATTCATCCTTTGTGAGAGAAGAATGTGGGCAACGGAAGGAAGACACAGCCAGGCAGCAAGCCTTTCAGCGGTGGGAGATTCTGCTAAGGGCCTTTTTAGTTCCTGGAATAAAACCTTTTGTTCCCAGTGAGGGTCTTTCTTCAGATTAAAATTTTTTTTTTTAATTTTCTAAAATTTTTTTTTTTTGAGTTGGGGTCTCAGTGCCACCCAGGCTGGAGTGCAGTGGTACAATCGCAGCTCACTGCAACCTTGACCTCCTGGGCTCAGGCGATCTTCCTGCCTCAACCTCTTAAGTAGCTGGGACTACAGGTGTGCACCACCACACCTGGCTAGTTTTCTGATTTTTTTGTAGAGATGAGGTCTTGCTATGTTGCCCAGGCTGCTTTCTCTGGACTCTTGACCCTTGCTTTCACCTGCTCCCCCACAGCTCCTCAAGGACGGAGGCGTGCTGTCGCCCATCCTCACACGGCTGATGAACTTCTTTGTGTTCTCTCGAGGGTAAGTCACTGTCAGAGAATGACGATAGCCTGATACCACTGTGGGAAAAGCTGCTGCCATGACGTTCTGGCCAGATCTCTAGGGTCTGACGCTTGCTGAGGGAGTGGAAGGCAACGAGCAGTCAGCTAGGGCCTAGCATGCAGTCCCGGGGCTCCAGCCGTGTGTGACACTGCGTGCTCCTCACACTGACCCGCCTGCATTCTGCCTCTTCCAGCCTCACCCCAGTCTTCGGGCCGTACACCCGGCCCTCAGAGAGCGAGCTGTGGGACATGTGGGCGGGGGTCCGCAACAACGACGGGAACCTCGTTATCGACAGGTGAGCATTTCCAGAGAGTGGGGAGAAGGCGCAAACCTACTGTTGTATTCCTTGCCGCTGGTTCTCTGTCTTGGGATGGGTGGGTGTGACCTACAGACCAAGCTACAGCCAGTCATGGGCTGGTTTCTAGGAAGACAGTTGTGGAGAACAGAGTGAGCCCCGAGCCTAGGCCAAGTTGGGGCAGAGTGTCTGCAGAGACAGCTGTGAATCCTGATGCTAATTCAGTTTGTAACTGGCAGGTGGACTCCAGCAACCCCTTCTCTGGGCTTTTTGTTAGTACCAGTGTTGAGCAGCGTTTGTCGTTGCTGTACCGGGCTTCTCCTTCTGCAGGTCTTTCTGCAACTACAGAGGCTGCCGGGGGAGGGGGGGCTTCCTTGTCTTGATCACATAGAAGATGGCTGCTTTCGCAGGGTCCAGAGACTGGTGCCCGTCATTGTTTGAGGTGAGGCTCTGCATTTTGCCAGCTGGGCCTGTTGAAGATTCCAGGGTTTGGCCTGCTGGCTTTGCTGGGAGCTGTGAGTCAGAGGGAGCCATTTTGCTCTCCCAGCCTAGCCCCCATGGGACCCCTGAAAATTCATCTTCAGATTAAGAAACTGAAAGAAGATTCTCTTTCAAATCCTTCATATAGTCTAAAAGTAAATACTGCTTCTAAGAGGCGACACTTGAAGTTCACGGAAATGGCTGTCCTGGAGTTGTCAGGCGGAACAGCCAGGACACAAGCTGGTTCTGAAATGTGGTGATGGTCCCTCACGTGGCTGAGGAGCCGCCTCCACCTGACCTGTGGGCGGATGATGTACAGAGGAGTTAGTGTTATGCTCATGAATTGCAGTCCTCGGGCTTCTTATTTGAATGAAGAAACTAGCTGGCCTGCAGTCCCAGCTGCTCAGGAAGCAGAGGTGGGAGGATACCCTGAGCTCAGGAAGTTGAGGCTGCGGCATGCTGTGATCACACCTGTGAACAGCCACTGCAGTCCAGCCTGGGCAACATAGCAAGACCTTGTCTTTAGGGAAAAAAAAAGAAAGTGAGGTCGAAAGACACATGTTATATTTGTGAGTCACAGCCAGTTAGTGGTAGAGGCAGCCCGGAACCCTAGACCTGGGCTTTGGTCACCCATGATCCAAACCTACTTTGAGCTTTCCTAGGCCTCACTGCCTGCTTAATACACACACAGAGGCACCACCTGTCACGCTGCAGTGGGCTTGGTCACTACCATGACTGCATGGCTAGCTCTAGAGGCTAGCAGAAGTAGATGAATTAAGCAGGCCACTTCCAGGAATGCCAAATTGCTTCTGTTCCTTGAGGCTCAGCCAGTCCTTGGCGTCCCTATCACAGTGAAGGCTCTTTGTCCTGCTTGTGGTGACTTGTCTGTCCCACAGTCTTTTGCAGTACATCAACCAGAGGAAGAAGTTCAGAAGACGCTGGGTGGGAGCTCTGGCCTCTGTAACCATCCCCAGTGAGTATTCTGATACTCTTGATAGGAAAACTGAAGAACTACAGGGCTAAAATGATCATGACCTCATGACCTCCCCTCAGGGTTATCAGATTGAGCAAATACAAATATAAGACACCCAGTTAAATTTGAATTTTCAATAAACAAATACCTTCTTTAGTATTAAGTATGTGTTGGGAAATCTTTGGAACATTCTTATACCAAAAAAACTCATTTTTTATCTGGAATTCACATTGAACTGGGCACCCTTTAGGTGCATTGGCAGTTGTACCCTGACATCAGCACCACCAGAGATGTGTGGAAAGGAAATAAAACGACGATGTGTGTGCAGAGGCGGCTGGCCGGTGGTTTCAGGGGAGGCATGGTCAGGGCCACTATGTCTCATGCTGGACTGCTGGGCCAGGCGGCTGTTTAGATCGCTAACCAAGAGGCTGTAGGTGGTTAGTGCTCACCTGTCTCTTCATGTTGACAGATATAGAAAGAAAAAATCAGTTCAGTCACAGATGGTAGCTAGTGTTCGGGAAACTACTGGTTGATTTCAAATGTCAAGAGTCAATTATAAAGGAAGGAAGACTTAAAGAATGACAGTATCCTGAGCTGGATGCAGGGGTTCACGTCTGTCATCCTGGCACTTGTGGAGATGAGAGGATTGCCTGAGCCCAGGGGTTTGAGACCAGCCTGGGCAACTTGACAGGCTGAGGCAGGATTGCCTGAGCCCAGGAGGCCGAGGCTGCAGTGGCCATGAGCATACCACTGTACTCCAGCCTGGGTGACAGAGAAAAAAGAATGGCAGTATCCTGGCTTTATGGAAAGAGGATGTTGAAAGTGGGGCTTGTTCCTTTTGGTCCAGGGTATGGAAGAGCTGGAGGAGGGAGCAGATGGCTGTGTGGAGCAGAAGATGTGCCAAGTAAATGAGCGGCCTGCTCCCAGCACTTCTTTATGGCCTGCCTAGTAGCAGCAGTGGCTAGATTTCTATCATGAAAGCATTTATGGAAATTTTTTTTTTGGCAGGGAGTTAGTTTTTTAAGGCAGGAGCAGGAGAGTGGATGTGAGAGCTATTGGTGATTTCTTCCTCTTCTCTTCACTAGTTCATTTTATCTACGGGCCGTTGGATCCTGTAAACCCCTATCCAGAGTTTTTGGAGCTGTACAGGTGAGTTTCCCTCTAACGTGTCTGTTAGTATCTCATCCTGACAGTGGTAAGCAGAATTACCTGTTGAGGACTGTTGCTCTAGTCGTCATCTTGGACCTCACTGGCTGTTCATCCATAACACAGATAATAAAAAGATGAGTCGAGGAATCTTATTCTCACATAAAGATTAGGAAATTCAGTTATATGGTCTCTTGATTTATACAGCTGGCTTTCACTGTCATGTGTACTACACACTCAGCTGTACAGGTAAGAAGCAGCTATTATGTGAGTCAAAAAATGGACGTGGCTGTCTCTTAAGAAGTGCTTTTTAAAAGTCTAATTGTGGAGCCAGTTCACTGGCCTGCACTGGGCAAACAGCAGCAATAGACTGGGGAGAGCCCCCTGGGAGACATGCCTTCTCAGGGTCATTTCTCCCTCTTGGTCCTTGCTCGGAAGGTGTTGGACCGTGGACTCGTGACTGACCAGCACATAAGAATGTGCCGTGCCCTCTTGAGGCCTGTGGGTACAGCCTACTGCTAATAGGATTTTGAGCAAAATAGCCCCCCTCGTATCTTCCTGCCATCTTCACTTGAGCAGTGAGTCACTGAGGGGCTACTTGCTGGAGCTCCATCCTTCTCTGCAGAGCTGAAAGTCCCTCCCTGATGGTTGTTTTCAAGTTGTCTGTTGATTACAAACCTTAACAGCCGGTCAATGGGGTTGGCACGTCTGTCTGCCTGAGGGACAACTCTGGAATACAAGGCGGGCAAGCTCTTGCTGGCGCCTTCCTGTGTGCTGGGTCTGCCGGGTGTGTCCTGGGGCTTCCAGCCTTGAGTTCACCTACATGCTGTTCTCTTCCGCTAGGAAAACGCTGCCGCGGTCCACAGTGTCAATTCTGGATGACCACATTAGTCACTACCCACAGCTAGAGGACCCCATGGGCTTCCTGAACGCATACATGGGCTTCATCAACGCCTTCTGAGCTGGACGGATAGCGTCCCCGTGTCACCTCCCCGCTCCCTTACCTGTTGTGTATCCACTTAGAAAGAGATGCCCACAGAGGCCCAGGCCGCCAGACTCTAGTCTCTCACCAAGTCCACTTGCCTCAGTCAGTGAACAGTGTGCAGGAAGAGGCCTACAGGAGCCCCACCCGAGGGTGGGTGAAATAGCCCACCTTCTGTTCCCCCGACATCTGACCAGGTGCATGGACTGCCTTTGTTCTGTGTTATTAGGAAATTCTGATGGGCGCTGCTGCCCACTGACGCAGAAAGACAGACATTCTTTTGCATAAAGTATTTTTTAATTCTTCTCTGGACTTTTCTGAAATACTTAGAAGTGCTACTTTGTGGCCAGCCTCAACTGGAATCCTACATTAAGAATGGGGGTGGGGGTGGGGCTTCTTACCTCTCCTTGAACAGCTTGAAGGGTGTGAGCAACATGTGAGCATAAGTCTCTTGTCATAACTGTGGGTTCCGTTTCATCAGCTGCTTCTAATTATAGACATTTTGTTAAGTAGATACTCGTTTGAAGAATGCAGTATCCTCAGTGTGCTTTAAGGTTATGATTTACCTACATGTTATATTTTATAAGGATACTAAGCCAGCAGACCTTACTCTGCCAAAGTAGTGAACCTTATTAAACATGTTTAATTTCTGAGTAAACTGAACTAAATTCAAACTATTTACAGAATTTCCTAAAATCACAGGACATTAAGGACCAATAGCATCTGTGCTGGAGACGTATTGTTACTAGCTGCAAAGACCAATTCCAGCAGCAGGCAACCTCTGGCTTCTTATGCCTCAGTGTTCAGATGCTTGTCTCCTGAGCTCAAGTGGAGGGAGGGAGGGTTGTGCAGGCTGGGTCACCATGCTGGATGTACACTGACTCCTCTTGTGACGATTGCTTTATTTCCCATGGCCTGTCATAGAGAGGCTTTCTCGCGTAGCTCAGAAATTCCTGTACTTCACAGATGGGAAAGTTCCAGAAACTTAAAGGAACACATCTCGAAAGACCTATAAGCAAATGGTGCTGAATACTTTTTTTAAAGCCACATTTCATTGTCTTAGTCAAAGCAGGATTACTAAGTGATTATTTTAAATTCATTTTTATTAGCAATTTCAAGTATAGCAACTTTGAAGCTGGAATCGGTGTTTATTTTCTATTAATAAAAATGAACTGTGACAAAAGTGGACTCTGACTTCCCCTCCCCCACACCCCCGGGATAAAACTTTCAGCACCACCAGGAGCTTCCAGATACACAGCAAAGAGTACAACGAAGTCAAGCAGTTGCAGTGTAGGATAGGATTTGCTTTTCACATCACCCAAAGCTGCACCGTCATACCAAAGCTTATCAAAAGTGACAGGAAAAACAACCCACGCACAAGGACAGATGTCTGCTTATGTGCTGGCTCTGGGCCAGATGTTGAATTAGTTTCTCCAGAGTCATTCCTCTTTAAGCATGATTCTGGAAAGTCCATGCCCCTCGCCTGATCCCACTGATGGTGACGTGCACGCCAGCCTCACTGGCTCAGGTGGACCTTATCCAACAGCAGCCAAGATAACATCTACAGGTGTCCTCTCTCTGCTTCTGACAGTCACCTGCATGGTCACTCCATCTGCTAAGGCTAGTCTGGACCTCACCAGTAAATCACAGCCACCTCTGTATACACCTGAGAGAAAAAAGTGAGGGAAACTATATTAAGATCTCAAATGAGCCCTGAATGATGAGATGTGTCCTGCTCTCCCTTCGATTAATTTAGCTTTTCTATAGGTTTGTGGGGTTGAATCCTACAGATAAGCCCTAAATATGTGTGTTATATTCCCACAAGGCCAGGTACAGAGAAGGTATTCAAAGATGCCCATCTGAGGCACTCAGGGGAGGTGGGTGGGGGCACTTTTGTTTGTGAGGAGATGTCAGTAGGTGGTCTGGGCCAAATGTACACCTGAAAAAGATAACCTAAGAACACCATGACGACACATTCCCCCTTTTGCCTGGCCTTCAATGACCCACATACAGGGACGACAGGACACGAGTAAGGCATGAGATGCCTAGCCACAGCCCTTCCCATTATATTCTGCAACAAAGTGTCAGGAGGTCTGAAGGAGTTTCTTACCTGCCAGGTAGAGCGAATGAGAGTTCTTGTTCTCGGGCACTTTATCAGACCTTTCACAGGGCTGCATGCCCAGAAATGTGACAACGTTGTTGACAGCTTCTATGTTGAGCAGATGGACAAGAAATGTTAGGTTAAGCGCGGGGTCTGCCTCTGCACAGGGCATGCTGGGGGCTGGGGGTAGAGGCATGTGGATGTGCAGAGGGCAGCGGCCAGACCAGAAAATGGCTGACCCAGTCAGATGCTAAAGACTGGGTTCTGGTCTTCTAAGTAGACAATTTATCAAGTGTTTTTTTAAAAGAAGGAGTTCTGGAATAACAAATCTGCCTATTAGGTTTTATATCGCTGTCAGGCAATATTGTTTGATAGCTAAACTTCTCACCTTCAAGCGTTTTGGTAGAACTGAGGGCAAAAGTCTCCTCCTTCTCAAAGATGTCTCCCACCTCCTCCCAGGCAGCAGCAAAATTAGGCTTCAGCACCTTCTGAATATGGTCAGACACGGTTACTTCGAGATCTTCCAGCTAGTGGGTAACAGGCAGGGGTCAGTAAAGCAAAGTCCTTTCTGTTACAGGACAAAGATAAAGGGCCTGATTAATATGGTTCAGCAGGAGCCTAGGAAAAGCTCTACCACCCAAGCAGAATCTAGGTAACCCTGACACTGCCGGCCTCAGAAGGAACTAGGCCAAGTTCAGAGCTCCATCTGTGGCCTTCAGGTGTGTGTCATGCTACCATACCTGCTCACTGAGTCCAGGCTGGCAGTGCCTCCCAAATTTTCACTAAGATCAGCACTCTGGTTGTTCACGAAGAGGTTGAGATACTTAAAAGTTTTCCCTCTAAAGACTTTTTAGTCCAGGATCTGGCTGTATTACAAGCAAACTAAAAGTTGCTGGAGCAGGAAAAAAACCCCAAAACAAACACCAAGAGCCCCCTAAAACCACTTTCAATAAAACTCATCTCAGTGAGTAATTTTTAATCTCTTAATTAACCCTATTATAAGGTGAAAAGGGGATGAGTCTATTTTAATGAGCTGTGAAGTGATCAAATCCCAGTTCTCTTTGGCATGATGTAATTCGATCCAGAGGAGGAGAAGTTCAGGTCCCCCTCCACTGGGATCTGAGGACAGAAACCCCTTACGTTCATGTCAGATGTTCTTAGAAACATGTTCTCTCAAGGCAGAAACCACTGAGTGCTGCAAAGTGTCAAATCTGCCTGGAAGACTCACCACGTACTCGTCATCATACCCATCCTCATCCGGAGCTCCCGTGTTAGGGTCACAGTCCCGGACGGTGAACTTCATGGTGCAGCTAAAGGTGCCTGCGACTGGAGAGGAGCAGGGTCCACATGGGTGGCAGCACAAGCACAGAGTTTCCCCATTTCTTAGGAAGTACCATCTTGCCCTGCGTTTCCAGGTTAAGTACATGCACACCCTGTTTTCTAGGTAGTGGTTCCAAAGGCAGCCTGCCGGCAGGCTAAAGGACAGTCTCACCAAGTAGGCTGCTGGAGCCTACTCCGCCCTGTGGGTTAGAATAGAACAGGACAGACACAGACGGTTTCTGTGCTGGTGTGAGGAAGGCAGCAGGGACATACTTGGGGCTTTTTGCTGTGTCTGTCGAAGGACCAGTTACGCTGAGGACCACTGCTCTAGGACTTGTCAAAGGGAACAATGTGCTGGGGAAAAGCACACAGATCCTCCAGTTAACAATGACCAAGTACCTCAGGGTCTTAGGGCTGTCTTTGGACTGTGCACTCACAGCGGGTCCCAGACCCCCAGAGTGAACGAGCTGTGTGGCAGATTCCAACCCATAGTGAGGAGGTCGGCCGTGAGCTGGTCTTGTAAAGCTAGTGTCTTAAAATGGAAGAGTGAGTGGGCGTGGCTTGTATGGCGAGGAATGGCGGAAGTAATACAATGGACATTGGTGGGGGCAGGTTTCTGGAAGTGAAGTCTTCGTAAAGAGACAGGGTTTTCTGAACTGTGGGAAGGAGGGGTTTTAGCAAGCATGGATGAAGAAAAGGCATTTAGGGTCTCATTTGTGATCTGGAAAAGGCTTATAGGTACAAAAAATACTAGAAATCGGGACATTAAAAAGTTCTTTGGGAGATAAGACAAGGAGAGGCAAGAAAGGACTCAGATATAAGGACCGCATGTGAAGTGTTGAGTGGTGGGACCTTCATCTTCTCAGTCTTAACTCTAAACATTCATCCATCCATCCAGACATGTAGTGAATGCCAGTACATGTTGACATTACATGTGAAGGTGTAAGCTAATGTGCCAGGCACGTGATAAAAATATGACTGAGACATGACCTCTGTCTCCATGAGCAGTCTAGGAGTTAAAGTGTGTGTGTGTGTGTGTGTGTGTGTGTGTGTGTGTGTGTGTGGTGGGGGGGGAGAGGAGTGATCTTTCCATGACATTACAACTCAGTGTCCTAAGTCTTTTAGTGTCAGTTTTAACAGTGCTATGTGAGGGTTCATGATTAGCAAACTGCCTGGGAAAATTATGCAACATGTGAAAGGCTATCACAGTTTAATTGGATCTTCAAAGGCACAGGAGCTCTGGCAAGCAGAGACAGGGACATGAAAAAAAGGGAAGGCCAGCAAGTCCTAGCAGAGCAGGAAACAGGAAGAGGCGTGCACAGATGCTGAGCGGAGACTGTCTAGGAGCACGCTGTAAAACACCATGTACTTGACATTTACCAACAGGCTCTAAAGGCCAAGGTAGTCGCGAGATGAAGAGGTTAGAGACAAGCGAGAGAAGCTGCCCAACTTCAGCCATTGGTGGGAGCCTACGAAGAATGGGTGAACTCAGAAGGCAGCTGGATTCAGCAGAACATGCTGAAAACAAGATGGTGGGGGGGGTCAACCCATCCAGGAAAGAGTGGGCCTCCTGAGATGACTGGATCTGCATCGGTGCTGTGAGGGGCTGAGCATGACAGTGGCCCAATTTAGGGCAGGGCTTTCTTCAGGGGCAAGCGGAAAGAAGCTGATATTTCAGAAAAGAAGGCAAGGAGAGATATGGGGTTGTGGTGGGGACAAAGGTCATGACCAAGTGAGAATGAGAAGTCAGGACAGATGTTAAGTAATGGCTGGTGTGAACGCCGGCCTGGTTCAGATGAAGTGGGGCGGCTGCAGCAGTGAGGAGGAGTCATCACGGGGCAGAATCAGTGACAAAGACAGGGCCCAGCCTGGCCTGCGCACAGCCGTGCGTACATAAAAGCAAAGACGGATGCTTCCGTGTGAGACCTGGTACCCAGAAACAGACGGAGGGGGCAGCAGGGACGGGGCTGCCAGAGACGATGCTCCTGAGAGCTCGATGGCAGGTTTTCAGTTACATAGTTTGATCAATACAGCCAGGTCACAGGTGAACACCAGTGAAAGCCAGTGGCAGTGACCTGCCAAAGCTGCTACAGCAGGTGACGAGTATGGGTGACGAGAGGAGGCAAGGGGCCTTTCCACGGCAAGGGACAGTCCTGAGTCCGCTGCTGTCACATGATGAGAGCCATGAGAACAGAGCAGGTAATACTGAAGGGAACAAGGAGGGGGTGCCCAAGGTCACACCAGAACTGTTCCAGGAAGTGGGCCTGCCATGAGAGGACCGTCTGGAAAAGATCTATCTGAAAAGGACCCAGAGAAGCAGGCAGGGTATGTGAGCTGAGCTGGCACAGGACCTGCAGGCGCAGCACCAGGGTGGGAAGGCAATGGAGTGGCAGGCCTCACCTATGGTGAGACCCCAGGCGAACAAGGAGATCCAGAAAGCGCAGAGGGAGACATGGTGAAAGAAAAGGGTATGTCAGCAGGGCAGACGGTCACAGAGGGCTCTCAGCTGGCTGTGGCCCTCCACATAGGTGTGGACTGGGCGGAGACAGCATGGGTGCAGTACCGTGAGCAGGAAATGGAGGAGGATGCACCTCCCCAGCAGTGTCCATTCCAGGGATGCTCTACGCATGGGGAAGGACACCGAGGGGAGGTTTCCCGCCTGGACAGATATGGGGATGGGGGAAGGGTATGGAAAAGCAACATGGAAGCTGCTCTCAGATGAAAGGCATGGCGGACATCAGCTGGAAGATGTGACTGAATTCCTGGGCCAAAGTCCTAAGAAGAGAGGGAGAGGCTGGAAGCAAAGCTCAGCACATGCCACATGGTGGAAGGCCTTAGGCAGAGATGGGAATATGGGTCTGGGACAGGGAGTCCTGTCAGCTAAACTAGGTCTAACTGGTCACATCTGGGGCCTAAAGGCCTCACTGCAGGGGAGACACACAGGAAGGGCAAGGACAAGGATGTCTGTGGCAAGCAGCTGTCAATGAGCTTTTGAAGCTTTGGAGGAAGTTGCTAATTAAAGCACTTGGCTGACAGGAAAGTTGTAAGCTGATTAAGATGAATGCTCATTAAGAGCCATCGCTGGCAACTTTGGAGATACCAGGCCTGACTTTATTAGAGGGCACAGGCAGTCTGACCAGAGGATGGATGATGGCTCCCAGGTGGGTAATGGGCGAAGATCATGAGGAGGGGGGAGCATCGAGGAGATTCTGGCTCTGTTTCTTCTGTGGAGAGATGCTAAGTGGGAGGACGATAGTGGCCAAGATGCCGTAAGTTACTGCATAGCATGCAATCCACGTTGCTCTTGGAAGTTCCTTTGCCAAGTAAGGACTGGCTAAAGGGGACGGAGGAGACGTGTGTGGAAATATCATGGGGGAGGAGAAAGAGAAGAGGGAGGTGAGGAGCTGAGAAAGAGGGTATTGGGTTTGGGATGCAGAGCAGAAGACCAGTGTGGGCCAGGGAGAGCACAGAGAGGAGAGTGAGGAGCCCCGGGAGCGGCAGTTGCACAGTTCACTGAGTTCAGTGAGCTCACAGCCAGAAACGGGGATGGGGAAGGGAAAGTCCCCAGGTAAGCGCTGGTGGCATGAGGGAGTACCACCTGGGAATCTGCTTGAATGCTATGTGAGGTCACAAGTATGCCCACCTGTGAAGCCCAAGGAGTGCAGTGGGAGGAGCTGAGTCATGGCCAGGGACAGGAACCCCATGAAGGCCTGGGCTGAGTTGAGAGTGCAGGTGTCTTCAGAGTAGTGTGGAGGGACAGTGAAGACAGAAGAAAAGACGACCGAATCCATGAGAATGAGAATGATACCAAGATGGTGGCTGAGAAGAAAAGGGACTGCAGGTAACAGGTGTTTCTCTAGGAGCAGTGGGGGAAAGTGAAAAGCTGCAGGAAAGATAGGGTCACCTGAAGACTAGCAGGTATTGACAGGAGGGATCTGCGGCACCACAGCTGCACCAAAGACCACAAGTAGATAGCAGAGTGGCTGGAAGCCACGTAAGAGGAGGAGCACTGTGTGAAGAGCAGTGAAGGGTAGGTGGCATGGTGTGGGCAGAAGGGGTGAGGAAAGTTTCTCAGGATGGGTAGTCTGTAAGTGTGGGTCTCACAGTGTGGGTCTCCTTGGCCAGATGCTGGATCTTACTGCCAGGCCCCGAAAAGCAGTATAGACAGTGGGAGAAGAGTAAAGGCCTGAAATGGAACAGCATCCTCTGGTGGGAACTTGGAATCGCAGGATGGAGATAAACCCTGTAAGAGCCAGGGCACCGACCCTTAGGAACCTAGCACAGACCTTGGAATGGATGAAGTATACTAGGAGAGGAGTGGCTGGACCTTATGCTGGGAACCCAGCTCAAGAGTCAAACTTCCTTTGTTACTTCCAGGGACAGATGGTGACACTGTACTAGACATCATCAAGATGCAGGCGGACGGCCATTCTGTGTGCTCTCAGGAGCTCATTGTGTGCAGCTGTCCTGTGGGTGAGTCCTGAAGAGGAGCTGACAAAAAGTGCTTGTTCAGGAAGAGACGGGGTTCCTCTGAGAGAACAGATGGCAGCCAGAAGGAGGGAGGCTGAAGATAAGGCAGTACATTTCTTCAGGGCAAGACAGGTAGCAAGGAGAAAAGGAAGGGGGAGAACTCTGAACCCCAGATGAGAAGGTCATCTGAAAAATGGCAGAACTGACTGGAGGGAAAAGGCCCCATATTTGACCAAAAGACACAGAAGGAGAGGGTTCAAGCTGAGGGGAGCACCGTACCAACCAGACCATAATGCTGAGTAGGCCACACAGGACTTCCGAAGGGAGAATCCTGTGAGGTCTCCGGGTGGAGAGGCCAGATTTCATGACTAGCACGCGGGAGAAGCAGGTGTCTGCACAGGGACGAGAGTCAGGAGCAGACTTGCCCTTGGTGCCTTGGTGGGGAATTTTAATTAAAGGGCTTGTCTCAGGGGAGAGTTAAGAGTGATGCTTCTTACAATGCGTGATGCAGTATTACCTAGGAATCTGTTAGAAAT